TTTATTCAAAGATCTTTAATTTCCAACTTATGATGAATTTTTTTTGCAAATGATTGTTTAATTTGCAAAAGTATTTTCCCTCAGAACAACATTTAAAATTTACCTAAAGTCTAATGTCTCAAATTAAGACATAAGTCTTACCGGTGCATTAAATTTACATTTCCAATTTTCCGGGGCAGTAATAGCTGTATCTGTGGACCCTTGAATATCGCAGTTACGTATATTCCCTCTCGCCGAGACCTGAGCAACGAGTGGAGGACTACGCATTCATGCATATTGGGCCAAGGTGGAGATGAACAGAATTGTTCCTCCACCTTCGACCGAAAATCGATGCGGCCCCTTTGAGTGCATCTCCGCTATTTAGGGCTCAGTGGCGAGTCCACTCCGACGGGCCAATCACGACTAATAATTAATTAATAAAATTAGACAAAAATTTCTCCTCAAACGTTCCACGACATTATTCCACATCTTTCGTTTCAATAATCCTCTGTGATTTCCATTTTGTTGATATTTAATTGAACATTCTGCCCCAGATTTTTGTCCCGAGCAAAATAAAACTTGAAATTGCGTTCAACGTGAGAAAAAAAAATTCCCGTCCTCGGTTTGTGCATCTAAGAGTGAAAATTCCTTGCATACATATTTGAAATCTCATAAGGAATGCACGAGGGCATGTTTCTTTATGGGAAAGTTCGCGGTATGCTCTGTATATCGTTAGTTCTTGGATGCTGAATACGAATGTGGTATCTGTATTCCACAGTTGCACAATACTTTCGTTTCACATTATCAGAACTCATCCATTTGGAAATATTGCCACCGGCGAGCTGCGGTATTGAGTGATTTTGGGAATCGACTTTGGATTTTTTTAAAGAAATTTCAATCAGTTCATTCAAAATTGTTTTTTTAAATTAAACGAAACGAAAATATCGTTGAAGTTTTAATTAAGACTAAAATTAATTAAGTAATTAAGATTAAGATTTATTAATTTCATTTTTATAACAGGAATGAAATTATTAAACTCATAAATGGTTGAAATATTGATTATGAGAATAATTAAATGCATTCGAAATACGATTTTTCACAGTTAATTTTGATTTTAATAAAATTTCATTTGAAAAAAATTCATAATTAATTTATTCACATTACTTTCTTATTTTTTATTGATAAATTATCGCCGTTTTTTCAAAAATAAAAACATTTGGTTATCGAAAAAAGCATAAATATTCTGAATTCGCTTCGAAGAGCTTATCAACAGGCATTACTTTCAAAATTCAAGTCGATAAATTCTGTTATCGATGCAGAAACAGTTTAAAACAAGAGGACAAATGTTTGATTTCATAGACTAGTTTTTTTAACAGTCACACTGCGAAAACGACGAACTTCAAGACGTCTTAATATCACATTAGTCCCAAAAATGAATACATAATTAGTATTGTTTACCCCAAAAATTTTCAGTAAAAAATTATTATCTCATTAATTTTTAAATTAATGTCTCAAGCAAAATAAAATAAAAAAATATCCAAAGCGATTAAATTGCCCAACATTCTCAAACTAAAATTAAAATAGTCTACTGCACATCGCAATTCCCTCTGCCCCTATTGCCCACCGTAGTGTTAATCATCCCGACATTTATAAATAAATATAATTATCCTTGATCGTACACAAAGGCATTAAGCCACGACCAACCACTGTACCACTGTAAGGGCTCACTCGATCGTCTCCTTCCGCTGGACTAGTTCGCGTTAGCTCGAGAAAATGCCGAGTGTCTATACGTGGAAAAATTTTTCACTCGGTTTGATAAATTAGCAAGGGAATTATTAACGCCCGATGATGAAAGGCCCAAGATGGCAAAGGAACGATAAATAAGAGGGCCACCTGACCTTATCACGTGACCCATGCAACAAGCTCCCAACCCTCTCCTCTACTCATCGGCGGAATCCTCTCTCGAGTCACTCGAGGGGAACTTGGTTTGATACAGACACTTCTCCCCCTCGTACACACTTTACTTGCCAATCACTCACACTCGGCAACTTCACATTCTCAAAGTGTTAAATAAAGAGAGGTAGCGTGCATACGACCCGGCTGACGAGGTTTCAGTGTCGTTTGCTCAGTGGCACAGAATTTACTTGTGTTTTTTCTTTGCTCCGTCAGCCGTGGAGTCTCCGTGAATTTTATTTTGGGCTTTTTGTAATTATTTTAGGGAAATTTTCAGTTGCGAAACGCAAAACGGTTTTAGTTGACTGAGTTTTTGTGGAGTATCTCGGAATCTAAGGGAGGTAGCGAATTTTTTGTTAATACCTTTTTTGTAGCTCTCAATTCGCTCTACAAAAAAGGTTTTCACCAAAAATTCGCTATCTCCCTTAGATTCCGAGATATTCCTTAAAAAGGTAAAACTCTGATAAAATGCATGACATTTTTTAAAAATTAATATCTCGGAATCTAAGAGAGATAGCAAAATTTTTGTTATTACCTTTTTTATAGCTCTCAATTCGCTCTACAAAAAAGGTTATGACAAAAATTTTGCTATCTCTCTTAGATTTCGAGATATTAATTTAAGAAAAAGTTCATGCATTTTATCAGAGTTTTATCTCATTCTTCTGCTACAATGAAGATATTATAATTAAATAATTATGAATTCCCTTTCAATTTAATTCAAAAATAATTATTTCGGTGGTATTTCACTCTCAAAAGACTCCTAGAACTCTCAAAATGATTAAAATGCGATAAGTGATGACAAATAACATTTTGAATCATAGAATTAAATATATCGCTTGATTTTTCTCTGGATTTCCATCTACTCCACAATGCAATGTCAATATTTAATTAGTGAAATGCCTGGCGGCATTTCCGGACGCATAATACTCGTACAGTTGTAGAAGTCACCATATGGGACGACATGTACATCTCGATTCCCGGAGGATACACATGTCCGTCGATCCAGCACGAGCTACTGAACTTCACCTACCCAACCGTCCCAGGATAAGTTGCACTACGCGCCAGCGATGGAAATGCTAACACACGTTTATCCCCACTACTGAATTCTAACTCGCACATGGAGAAACTTTCGGCAAGTCGAACTTTCGAATTAGGATGGAATTGCTTACTGGGGAAACTTGGACTGCGAAGTGGTAAAAAAAATATACTTCGACTTTGAGATGTAATTATGAAGTTGGAGAATTTATTTTGACGGGGACTTTGAATAGTTATTGTTCCAATTGTGTAGATAATTGTGAGGGAAACAAGGGTTGGGTGAGCATCGAAATTATTTTATTAGGTAGAAAATCAGGTGACGTTACTGTACAATTTTTCAATTTGTAGGGAATCAATTATCAATCAACATATTCAATTTTTCAAATATTTTATAAATCAGTAATCAGCCTTACAAGATTCTTTGAAAAACCAAATTCAGAGATTTTGAATTAATTGGTTAACGATAATTGAGAATTACAAATTGTTTGCAATTTTAATAATAATAATTCAACTAAAAATTATTTTAAAATTGAAATTAATAAAAGCAATGAACTTTTATCAATTTACGAAATGTAATTTAATAAAAAAATACTTGTTTGTGGAGAATATTCTACAATTCGTTGGATAAAAAAAACACATTGGTAGATGCAAAAAATATTCTCCTGTGAGAAAAAATTCCACTGAATTTTTCCCGTTTGAATCCAAATTTTTTACAGAAACCCTAAAAATTTAGCCTTTAACTGCCCCAAAATTTTCCTCCCCAATTTTTCTCCGTGACTTTCCTGCTTCCTGCGACTAAAAAAATTGGATAGTCTGACGAAGAAATTTCGTGAAATAAATTCTAAAAGTCTCGAAGCCATCCTTCAGCGGATTACATTGTTTCTCTGAACAAAAAAAATGTTACGGTCTGCCTGCCGCGAGTTCCAACGAATGAGCGCCCCATAACGATGACAAACGTAAAAAGGGAATCCCCAGCAATCCCCAGTTGCCTCGGTATTCACTGATCGCACTTGAGCGAGCAGGTGAACCGATCATCGAGATCCCGATGGAGTGGCCCCTTCGGCTCAGACGAAGGGTCTTAAAAAGAGCGAGACCACAGACGCAGGTTAAAACTGGTCTGACCCCACTCTCGTTCTGTGGCTCGTGATTATCCTCTTTTTCAGGATAGTAAAAAAAAGTTTAGCTTGTGAAGCCAATCGACCGTCCGGGCAATTGCCTTTGGAGTGCTCAACACGCCGCATTAACTGTCTGTAGTATAGGGCAAAAAATGGCAAGGCTTACTGCTGTACCGAGGGCAAATTAATTGTCGCTTGGGTTGGCTTTGCAAAAAAGGCGTGGTGTAACACTTGAAAGGACGTTTTTTTCTCTCGTAAGGCTGTAAAAATAGAGCTGAGAATGTAAGCAGAGAAAAAATTTCCGGAAAAATTCTAAATTAAGTGCAATTGTCACTGATTTTTTCCGCAAAATTAAATGGAATTATCGACGTCGTTACCAATCGGGGAAAATTGTTATCACTTTCTATTCCGCGACATAATTAAGACGATAAATCTCCTGTTTACGACTGATTGAACATTTAATTAAAACTTCGCCAGTAAAACAGCAGAAAAAACCAAATTACGTCCAGTTTTTTTTAATTGCGAGTGACACTGGCATTGCGAAAAAATAATTAGAGTACTGTTGAGTGAGTGATATTACTGTCTCTCTGATCACATGATATAAGTGATAATCATGAATAGTGCATTTCCAGGATAATTCGTGTTGATTAGTCCCATCATGCATTCTTAATCAGCTTAATGGACGTCTCATGATGTGAAATTCCGGAGTCGTGGAGTTTTGTATTAAATTACATATTCGTAGGAATGGAATAACACAATGGAGAGGGGATGTCATGATATGATGTAATAAAGACTCCCGTATGAAACAGGCTCAACTTTTAGTTGAAAATATGACAATTCGAAGTTTTTTCTGAAATACATTTTTTTCTACTGGATTTTGTCGAATTATAAAAGAAAAAGAAATGATTGACAATAAAATTGCACTAGAAATTCATCATAATGTATTTCTGCGATCGATATGCGTGGTATATTACACGAAATTGTTAACCAGTAATGATGAATATTCATTCTTCCAATTATCAATATTAATAACGTTGACATTACAAGCTATTATATACAAAATCATCGCATTAATTTCTAATTATTCCTAATAACATTGCAATGCAAAAAATGCCACTTATTGTTTCTTCGTCGTATCCATCGTCCACCGATGGTTATTTAATCCTAATATAATGACTTTATTCATTTATTTATTAATATCCTTTAATTTTACAACACTCAGCACCGATAAACTCAATTACAATTGAAAATGTTGGAATGTTTTATACAATCTAATTGAGAATATAATTCCCCTCTCTTTGTGACTCATTCGGACTCTATCCAAATGAATTTCTCAAACAATTTCATTCTATAAATAATCAATTATTCATTTCACAGTAATCGGTTAATTTCAATAAAGATAATTTCAATTCTTCATAAAAAATTTCTCACAATCTTGTCAACAAATAATCATTCCGCAAAACAAATTCTAAAAATCTTGAAAATCATACTTCTCAGGATTATCGTGTTTCTTTCTTTAATCTATAATCCAGTGATTACAATTACAAATCGACTAATACTGGGACTAGAGGACATGCGAGACGTTTACTGCGTCATCGAATCACCCATTATTCTCACTTTCTATCCACATATTGAAACAATTGAAGCGACCATTGAATTGACTCCCATCACATGGTGTGAGATTAATACTATTGTTGTCACCTACAACTCTGATAATCAGAGTTCAGTAATCATAAAATTATCGATATAAACTCTCTGCTCTCAACCAATGAAAATCATTCGTCGGGAATTTTGTGTTTGTGTCAAGCCACGAAAAAAGTAATAATTCAATTAGTTCCAGGCTTGAGTCATGACTTTTTCATTGGGTTTTATTTTCAATTAATCGACACTATTAATCTCCCAACATTTCTTAAAATCCTCACTTGTGCGTCCCCTCGCGTAATACTTTATCTACAAAAACCGCCCATCGTAATCGATTTCAATTAATTAATTCCCGCAATTGAGTTCAATAATCAAGTCGAAGTTAATTTTCTCAATATTTAGGCAATATGAAAGGGCTTTCTCCATTTTATGTCAAACCGAATTTCTCCACTTTCGATCACAAACAATTTTTGTAGATATGAATGCAATCACGCAACCAAGACAATAAACTATAAATAAATAATCAAATATAAATGATTCTCTCACAATTCGTTGTTTCACTGTCACCATTTGATTTGTGCACTTCTATTCCATATAAACAATAATTTCTACGAGTACTTAACTGATGAATGGATAAACAATGCGCTGCATAGTACAGGCATTTTGTAAATAACAGAATGAATTCCCAACGAAATCATGAAAATTTGTACAAATTGTGCGTTATTCGCAAGTGCATCTTGTATAATGATCGGAAATATAGAACTGAAGAGAATTAATGGGAACTTCTTTATTTGGCAGTGTGCGCACCAAGTCTTGAAGCAAATTAAGCCGGTTCTCGTACAAAACGGAGCGTCACAATAAAATTAAATGATTCGTCGGGCGAGTTTCATTGGGTGTCGCGAACGTATCACAGAGTCTTGCCCGCTAATCTATCTTACGTTATCTCATAATCCTTAGGAACTATATTCATTACGCGAAATTAATTTCAGAGAGTTCTAGAATTTTTTCTTCAAAAGAATAATTTCTTGTTTTTGTAATTAATGAGGCCTGCCATCCCATCGTTTGGTGCGAACAAAAAAAAATTTTAATGGACTAAAATTTTCAGTCGATTGAGCATTAAAAAAATTTCATCAACTGAATTTTTCTGATTTTTATGGAATAATTGAACTGAAATTATGATTTTTCAATAAATTTTTTTTTTATTCTAGTTGTAATTGTTTTAACTGCAACTCGATCGAATTTCAATAAAACAAACAAAATTATTAATGGAATAAAATTCGGTAAACGTCAACAATTGCCTCGATTTTAATATATCTTTTTTCAGGAATGAAAAAATTATAGTTGAATGAATTTTATTTTAGAAACTTTTTGTTTTCGAAAGGATAAATCATGCAACTGTCGTAGAACAACTCTTCGTTCATCCGAAGATTGTAGAAGAATTCGCTATTTTTCCTTTCCAAAATTCTAAACTACTTCCTGGCCATTCGGACCTCTACCATGTGCTTGCAATAATACTTCATTGTTTCCAAAATAGCAAAAATCGGGGAAATAATTCAGTGGCGAAGTGGAAACCCAAGACAACTCATTTTTTTCTCAAGAACTGAAGAAAGTTGAATTTAATTCCCTCGTCTGACCAATTCGCCACTAAATTCCAGTGGATTTCCTCCGCTCAACCCTCCAAATCACGAATATTCTTGAGGCTTAAATTACATACGCGCAGTCTTTTATCATTTTCCATTATCATTCATAATTAAAAGTGAAATTGTCATTCACTGCATTCCTGGAAGTATTTTCGTGTTTTCTTTTTAATAATCAACTGCGACTACAAGCAGTGCAGTCGCTAAAATTGGTGGTTCTTTGTGGAATGTGTTCCCTTCAATTTTTCAAAAGAGAAGGGGGAAATTTTGTATCCCTTCACTCGTTATCGCGAAAGTGTTCATGAGTTTTTGAAGGTTATCTCGTTGGTGTCGTGCTCCCTCCAGGAGTTTTGGGTGCAGACGTCGTCGCCCCGCCACCACTCGTTGACGTCCTTGTAGTACTTGGGCGATCGGGGATCGTGGAGCATTGCGCACACACGACACCAGAAGTACGTGTTGATGAATTCGCCAGTGCCCTTCCACTTGAAGTAGGAGTTGTAGAGCTCGTCGTCGTGGTCTAGGCGGTGGAGGTAGTCGGCGAGCTCTCGCGGCGACTCAAACTCGTCCACGTGAATGTAAGATCTGTAGGGCGCGCTCTTCGCGTAGTCTGCGGGGTGCGCACCCATCACTATTGGCAATACATTGTGGCTGAAATGATAAAAACAGAGTGATAATGGGAATTAATCCATCGATTTGACTTTATTCATTTATCAGCTCAATGAATATCTCGTGATGTGAAATTCCGGAGTTGCGAAGTTTCGTATTAAATTACATATTCGTACGAATGGAATGACACAATGGGGAGGGGATGTCACGGTGTGATGTAATAAAGACTCCCGTATGAAACAGGCTCAACTTTCAGTTGAAAATATAATGGCTGGAATTATTCACAGAGCGGAGACTTTTCTTCCGAAGCTTTTTCTGAAATATGTTTTTTTCTACTGGAATTTGTCGAGTTATAAAAGAAAAAGAAATTATTGACAATGAAATTTCACTAGAAATTCATCATAATGTATTTCTGCGATCGATATGCGTGGGATATTACACGAAATTGTTAATCAGTAATGATGAATATTCATTCTTCCAATTATCAATATTAATAACATTAATATTGCATTAATTTCTAATCCATCGATGTTTATTTACTCCTAATATAATGACTTTATTCATTTATTTATTAATATCCTTTAATTTTACAACACTCAGCACCGATAAGCTCAATTACAATTGAAAATGTTGCAATACTTTACACAATCTAATTGAGAATTTTATTCCCCTCTCTTTGTGACTCATTCGGACTCTATCCAAACGAATTTCTCAAATAATTTCATTCTACAAATAATCAATTATTCATTTCACAGTATTATTCCACAGAATTATTCACGGAGCGGAGACTTCTCTTCCGAAGCTTTTTCTGAAATACGTTTTTTTCTACTGGAAGTTGTCGAGTTATAAAAGAAAAAGAAATTAGTGACAATGAAATTTCACTAGAAATTCATCATAATGTATTTCTGCGATCGATATGCGTGGTATATTACACGAAATTGTTAATCAGTAATGATGAATATTCATTCTTCCAATTATCAATATTAATAACATTAAAATTGCATTAATTTCTAATTATTCCTGATAACATTGCAATACAAAAAATGCCACTTATTGTTTCTTCGTCGTATTCATCGTCCATCGATGTTTATTTACTCCTAATATAATGACTTTATTCATTTATTTATTAATATCCTTTAATTTTACAACACTCAATAAAGATAGTTTCAATTCTTCTTAAAAATTTTCCGCAATCTAGTCACCGAGTAATGATTCCGCGAAACAAATTCTGAAAGTCTTGAAAATCGTACTTCTCGTGATTATCGTATTTCTTCCTTTAATCTATAATCTAGTGATTAGAATTACAAATCGACTAATACTGCGTCACCGATAAGACTAATTACAATTGAAAATGTTGACGCCCACATTTTTATCAAGACACACGTGAAGATTCAATGAATCATTAATCTTTATAAATAAAAAATTGATCACCTGAGCTGAAAAAATGAATGAAAATCCGTGCAAATTCCCTATTCACTAGCAAAACGTCACTCAATAATCAACTCACCCAAGACCATTAACGAAGAACTTCTCCGTTATGTAATCCCGGCAATTGGAGTTTTCAAATGCAAGATAAAACTTATAATCAGCGTCGAGCATTTCGAAGCACGTTTGTGCCTGAGATCGTGAACACCTGAGGCTGCCGCAGGCCCCGTAGATGTCCACCTGAATGTGCTTGGCGAGTTCTTTGGCATACTGCATTCTCTGGTTACGTGGATGACAATTCGAGACAAACCAGGCAACTTTCTTAGTTTTATTAGCAGCGTAGTTGAATGTTTGGGGTATTTGAGTAACTCGAGCGTCGTAGTACTGCCATCGTTCGTACGGCGCTACGATGTCACTGTCTCGTCTGTAGGTCGCTGTCCAATTTACGAGAGCGTTCTTTACGGCCTGAGTGTGATAGGGACACTCCAGGAAATACAGCATCCACACCTGTAAAAATATTCAATTCAATTCAATTTTTTATGAATGAAAAAATTCAATTCTTTATTTCCTTTGTGTTACAAAAGTTTTTACTTGATTTGGCTGTCTCCGACCCACGTGAGTAACGTAATCTTTGAAGATAATCAAGTCCGCGAGATCGGGATTATCGCGAGTGATAACACAGGTATTGACGGGGCATCCGAGATGGCGAAACAATTCTCCCCCCGTTTCTGCCTCGCCCATGCCGTGCGGTATCATTATCCTCTTGGGGCGATGCTCGACACTCGTTCTGTTGTAATCAGGCGGAACGAACATCAACTGAAAAATTAGTAAATCTGGCGTGACGAATTTATTCATCACTGCAGGTTTTGAAAATCGATAAATATGACTTAATTTTTGAAGATTAAAATCCGAAATAAATTTTGAAACAGGAATTTATGCATTGAAGAAATTCTCAATCTCAGTCTTAAAAATTAGAATTAAAAAATTGGGAATTCAGGCACAAATAACGTCTGAATAAAATGAAAATGTGTCTGAATTTCAGACGAAAAAGTGCCCAAATATGTTGATAAATAATGTTGGAAATTCAGACAACTTTTTATTTTATTCAGACGTTTTTTAGTGTCTGAAAAACGTCTACAAAAGGTGTGACATTAATTTTTGCTGTGTAAGCTTACAAGTTTTGTGTTAAATAATTTTTTTAAATTGTGTCAACTTGAGGCCAGAATTACCTGATTCGTGACCCTATCGTCATTAGAATCCTCGTCCGGCCACAGCCTGGCGATTCTCCTGGCAGTTCTCTTGGACCTGGCGGCCGGAAGTGGTCGCTTGGTTCCGCCCTTCATGTACCACGGCCTCTTGCTCGGGTCCATCATCTCCGCAATGTGATCCACTGGGCTCAGTGTCCCCGTCATATTCGAGAGCTGTCAGGGAAAAAATGCCAATGAAATTTCGCCACTCGACGAGTGACGGAGAGATCAATCGCATGAGAGATAGTCGTGAATATGCGGTGCCGGCGGCACTTCTGGTGTGTCTCGTGCGCTCGTGTCATTCGTGGGTGTGTTGCATGGAAAGAGAGCTGCTTATTTACGAAATGCCATGTACTGCACATATTTGTTGCACACGTGGTAGCGACTATGACGACCTAGTCGACAGGCTACGTACGCGACTATTAAGCGGATATTTGTGGCTAATTTGCGGATGTCACCGGCTGGTGGAACTTTACGGTTTTGCTGTGATCGCGGGGGGAAATGTTTTTATTTTCAGGGATGTGTCACTAATTTTCACGAACATTTCACTAATTTTCAGGGGAATAAAAAAACAAGCTTTATTGTGAGATTTGTGATCTCAAATTGAAGGCATTTAAAATCGTAAAATGAGATGTTATTTTTTTGTGGACTGTAAGGAATTTCGTAGTCATTCGATTTAAGTGCAAAAATCATGAAATTTAAAATTTTTCTGTTTCAGGAAGACAAGAATTGACAAAATTACTGGAATTTCCAGTAAATTGAGGCTTAAAAAATGTCATCAACTGAATTTTTACGGAATAATTGAACTGAAATTTACATTTTTTGTTTATACTTTCATCAAATTATAAAAAAATATAAATATAATAATAATAAATTTATAATATATATTTACATTATAAATTTTCAATAAAAAATTCTTTAAAATTCAAATTCCAATTATTTCAACTGCATCTCGACGAAATTTCAGTCCAAACATATGAAGAATGCGTTAGAAAACGGGGAAAATAAACTATTCCTCCTCCGTGACATCTAATATCTCTAAAGCACTAGTTCGATGGACTGAGGGCTCGCTCCTTTTTACCTCGAATTTTTCAACTGATGATTTACTCTTGACACTCTGCCTGACCCGCGCGACCCTCGTCGTAGGCAGGCCCTTGGCTTTTACGGGCACCGAGAGTTTCATCTGCGAGCGAAAGGTTTTTTTTTCTTTCTATTTCTGTTTCTCAGTGCCACCGGTGCTCCTCTGGGATCATTGGGGGTCGTGAATGAATTAGAGCAAAGGGGCATTGTTGTTCTCGAGTGATTCTCGAGGCACTTGGTTGGGAGAATACATGGGTGAGTGCCAAACGTTGGGTTTAGAGAGCTTTTGTGCGCCGAGCTTTCTTTAAAAATATACAGGGGGAGAAAATGCAGTCGGTGGAATACTACTTATGAACTATTATCAGCTTTCAGTTCAGCTCATTAGTTAGTAAAACAAGTTAATGTTTAATATTAATAAATTTAATGAAAAGGTACAAATGGAGTTAATAATCTGAGGAAAATTAGCCCGGAATTTTCTCATTTGAGAATTGTTTTTTCCGTTCAAAAATTCTAGTGGACGTTGTAATATGAAAAATTCGTTCATTCTATTTTTACAAATAAATATATCTCCTGAATTATTTTACTAAAATTCATTACAATTTAATTAATAAAATGGGTTCCATTCACTGCAGCCTGAATTAAAAGTAAAAAAATTATTCACGTGAAATCATTCTCTCTCTATATATGTAAATATTTCATCTGACGTTCCATCCCTTCATTTTGAGAATTTTTATTTCTTAATTGAAATTTTTTTTGCGATTTACCTTGCCAACATCTGGCACCGCCCGAATAGCCTGCGCCGGTCGGGGGTCCGGCCTGAGGGAATGCCACAGCTCCTTCTGGCGAACATTCATCACCACCAGGACCATCCCGGTGGCGCAGAAAATGTAGATGAAGCATCTCTTCAACGAAATTCTGAGCAAGCCCATGCCGCAACTCGTCCAGTGTTAATTATCAGTTTTTCCGATCAATCTCCCACAGTCGCTGGGCTCCCGCTGCTGCGATCAACGGAATCGCATGCTCCACTGGCTCTTCCGTATCGACATCCGGGGCTGAGTCTGGAAAAAAAACATTCCCATATTTTTCCGTGTTTTTCGGTTTACAATAACGCAACAAAAACATGTTTATCGAATTCGTATCAATTTACGCTGGATTTTGCAACAATCGGAGGTGAAGAAATTAACTTCCTGGACTGTCGCTACATTTTTCTCTTCCGGGAACCCCATTTTAAATAATCCCTAATAATTCGTAATTTTTGTTTATTCGAGTGGAATTCAAATATGGGGGAGAAAGAATTAATTGACAATTTCCAATTAATTTATAATACGCGGAAGACCGAGGACGGCATCTTCTATTCACGCCGATACTTCAATCGCATTCACTAGATTGTTAAAAATTTTCGTCTGAATTTTCCGGGATAAATTCAGGAAATTTTGTTATTGATAAATTAATTATTCCATTGATTTTCTGTTCAAATGATCTGGATATCTATAATACTTGATTTTTCAGTTCAATTATTCTGCGAAAATTCTGAACAATCAGGAAAATTCAGGGAAAAACTGAAAATTTAGGTCATTTTGTTTCTGAATATTCATATTCCACTGAAAACTCATGAATTTCCGTGATTTTCACTTGAAAATTGAAATTTTATAACCATTTTTAAAAAAAATTAATAACAAAAAATTGTTTTAAAAAAATTAAAAATTAAAAAAATTCTACGAGTGTCTTCACATTAATCTGACCATATTTGCACAGATGGAAAAACAGAACTGATAGCAACCGATAAAATATAAATTTGACAAATTTATCTGTTTCTACTAAAAGAAATATCTCCAATTCCGGTATTTCTTATCAGGATCGCGCAGCAGATACCGATCCATTTTTTTTAGTGAAAAGAACCCGAAATGCGAGTTATCAATTCCTTGAGACGTTGAAAGGTGATAAATACCTATTTATCGATTATGAAATTACCTCAAGGATGAATCATTCAACTTTTAATAATGTTATCTAGAAGTTAATGCGCCACACGGAGAGAAATGTTCAGTAAAAATTACGGAACTCACAATTCACTCACCGATGACGGAATCGACTCAGAAAATTCAAGTGACGGTATCGTAATTTTTCACAGGACATTCAGAATATTTCTCTCGGTGCCCGAATTTTCAAAAATCGTAATTCCCCAACGGTTTCACCAGCCTCCACTCGCCCCGATATTAATGATTTCATCCAGTAAATTTTAAACTGAAGGATCACAGACAGAGGTTGGTGCACGTGGCCCTGAACAAATTGCATCAATTATCCGAGATGAGGTAAGATGCACTATGACCGAAGTTTACGCTTTAAATAGAAGAGTCGCTTGGTGCCGAGCACACATCTTGACCGTTACACATGACGAGTTCAAATTCTACCGCAATAACCAAAGAAAAAACAATAAAATCATTAAACTTATTGACGTAGTTTTCAACGTTCAGCGCAGCGATAAAATCAGAAATGCGCAAGGCACTTTTTCCCGTAGTTGTGAGAAGACCTGACACGTGATAAATCCACTCGATAATTTATCGATCACGAAATTATCTTGAGGATGAATAATTTTTCGAAAATATGATTTCACTATTTTTTTATTCGAAGTATCTCCCATGTTCCCTAAAACAATTAACTCCCCCCTATTGTAAATATTTTACTCCTCATGAAATGAAATACACGAGTTAAATCCACTCAATAATTAATCGATCATGAAATCAGTAGCGAAGTGGTCAAACGGTTCGATTTTGGCTATTCACCAGTTTTTAATGAATATCTCGAAACCTAAGGGAGATAGCAAAATTTTTCTCATAACCTTTTTAATAGCACTCGATTCGCTCCACAAAAAAGGTTATTACGAAAATTTCGCTATCTCCCTCAAATTCGGAAATATTTCTGGAAAACTCAACTAAAGACTAAATTGACTTAAACCGTTTGACCACTTCGCTACTGAAATTGTCTTGAGGATGAATAATTTTTCGAAAATATGATTTCCCTATTTTTTTCGAAGTATCGCCCATTTTCCCTAGCACAATTAACTCCCCCCTATTTATCTAAATAATCAATCAAATCCATTAGATAACCGAGTAAAAATTTTACTCCTCATGGAATGAAATACAAAATAACTATCAACAGCGTTGAAATGCATTAATAAATATTCAATATGCTTACACAATCAGAGGCGATTCCTAGCCGTTCAATAACTCATTCAGTATTCCTCACTCACTCTCCCCCGCCCACGTAAGATAATTGCGCGTTCATTGCATTCATTCCCGTGCAAAACATCAGTGTCACAATGTAGAACAAGAAATCACTCTGCAAAACTGTCCACAGGGGGAATATTTTCACGACCGTTCGTCCGCGTATTCACAACTGAAATGACTCAAAAATTGGGGCCAGATGTTGATAAACAGGCGACATTAGCCATAAATCAGGGGACTCCGACTTTGCGACAGGCCGTGTGGTACTCCCACCTGATAAATAGAGAAAAACGTCAGCAATTTCTCGCACACGAGTCCCCGGGAATCGAAGCGGCTGTCTGGATTCACCTAATGGACTAGATGCGATTAACCGGTGGACAGCAGTCTCTGTGGTCTATCTTATCGTGCGCCTCAGTGATTAGAAGAGGGGGTGCTGATGATGCCTCTCAATAACTGATGTGCACGTACGTAACCGACTTCAGTGTCGGTCATGACGGGTCCACATGTGGAGAAAAATGAATAATAGTTATGCTAATTCTGGGATATTCTACGCGCGACGTCTCGCGGGACTTATTTGTCTGGGAGATTTATGCCAATGGGATAGGTAAACTTGAAACTGGCATGAATGAATTTTTTTTGTTTCTGAAACATTGGGAATGTTTTATTATTTTTTCAATCACTTTGGCAACTCTAGGAATGGTTGGAGAGGGAAATATGATTGGAGTCATTATTTTAGTTGATAAAGAATGTTTTTATTATTTTTTTACACATTCGTTGTTTATGAATAATTGAATAATAAAATGAATAAATTTGTAATGAATCATTTTTGTAGTGGAAAATTTATTGTTTACAAATTATTTACAGAAAATTCTCGTAATTTTCAAAAATTGCAATTTTTTAATTCTTTCATCAATTTTTCTCGAAAAATAAAACTTTTTAATTTTTTTCAGATTTTTAACAAAAAGTGGTTTTTTAACAGTTCAATATCGACGGAAAATCCACTCCTCTCACTCGCAATTGAAAGCCCATATTTCCGCAAATTCCCTCCCATACGAAACAGCGTAAAATAATCAGAACAGATCATCATACTTTTCATGTCCACTAGTTTTACGACCATACATAATAGTACCACACATTCGCGAATAATTCACGCCCGAGGGGATGTAGCAAGTCGACAAAAGGTCGCGTGCAAACCACTGTGCACATAAGCATTAACATAACTGTTTTTTTCTCCATTTCATTATGTTTTTAGTTGTGCTAACCGCCCGGTGAACACACGTGACTGATTTCATTAAGCAAAGCACGGGGGCTGCCATTAGACTGGAAATTTATCAGTTACGGGTCGCTCAAAGGAAATTACGGATGGGACGATGAACGCTTCGTCTTCATTAACTTCATTTTATTTTCCTCTCCGCATCTCGATTACGCGACACAGTGGGAGGAACTGCGCACAGAATTATGACCTCTCAAGCTCGGGTGGGAATGCGTCGGCGACTGTCAACACCCGTAAAATTTAATGCTCAGTCGTAAACGTCGGGAACTCTCCCAACAAATGGCAGTGATTTTGAGAAATTGGTACAGGGGAGGTTCGGGTAGAACGGACATTTTTGACTTTTTAAAAAATGTTGATGAGGGGTTGAAATGTTGATAAAATTCAATATTTTTCCTTTTAATACAAAGAACAATTATTTCCCTTTGTGACGAGCCTACACTGAGCTCAATTGATAAATTTGTTTCTGAGTTATGAATAATCTTAAAAAAGTCTAGTGTCCATTTTACCCCACCCTCCCCTAGTCTGTTTTATGCGCAACCTCGAAGAGTTGGTATTGATAACTGGAGTTCTTGTAGTCGACAATTATCATGTAGAAAAAAATTTTCGTGCACAGAAAAATGTAAAAGTGAAAAAAATTTTTTGTTCAGACGTAATTTATGTTTAGGTTTTTCTGTGGGTAAAATAGCTGGGTTGATGTCTCTCTCTGTGTTCCGTCTGCATGGAGCTAACAAAATGATCGATCTCCCCGAAATCCGCAGTTACCCGCCGTTGCCATAGCTTCCCACCTCCCAAAATGAAAATAAATACTAAAAACAAGAGAATTGCGGAGATCGCTGACAAGACCCCGGGCCATTAACTTCATTTCGTGTTTCGTGACCGCAAGAATCTTCTCCCCATTCACGATAACAGATAGATGATAAGGTATTCCAAACTCCTGTAAATACCGAGTCACCGAACATTTGAAATTTCGTGAAACATAAAACTCGAAGATTGAACTTCTAGTTCTTCTTTTCCATTGGAATCGCTCTCGGATGGCGGCTCGATTTTGACGTCGCTTATCTGTCTATCCCTAATCTTCTCCAATCTCAGCATGAAATAGATAACTCGCATCGGCGAGGAGAGAAGAGTTCCAAGTTGAGAATAAATAAAAGAAACGTGATGTTTACGCTTACACAACTGGGGACTCCCAACGGGTTCGTTACCGCAGTGGCAATACCTTCTAATAATCACCTCGGATGTGACAATTATCACTGCGGTCACTAACATCCGCTAAAATTCTCGAGGTAGCACCAACGAGTCCACTTTGCGCGTTCGTAAAACTACAAACGAGGGGTAATTGCATTGTTTATAACTGAATACAACTGCTGCTGATGATTAGATGAGAATTCCTTCCGCCCGGGGATTAAATTAGTGTAAACATCATTTAAATTGTGAAGAATTTTTTGTTTTTTTCATTTTTTAAGGAAATTTATTGCAAGAAAAATTTTCAAAAAAAATAATTGTAATCGCCTGAGGTTTATTAAGGTTTATCTGGGTTCTTGGCAACATTTAAAATTTCTATTTTACATTTTTTTAAAACTAGTGTATAATTCGCAAGGTCTTAAATTTTGAGGATTAAAATCGGAAATGAATTCTAAACGAATATTCAAACAAAAACATTCTGGCTAAGTTTGTCCCCAATCGACAGTGTTGTATTATTGATAACAATTAATTTAGAACTGCCAAAATAATACAGTCCTATGAAAAAAAAAAATTTATTCGAGATCAGAGAAAAGATTAAAATGTACGAAGCCTTGAAAAATCGGAAAAAAATGAATAAAAATTTTATGTGTCAAACATTTGCGATAAATACTTTATGTTTCCGGATGCTCCGAATGTACAGGATGCCCTGGTTACACGAGCAACTATTGTTTAAAAAATTGCAGAAAGAATTCAACGGATTAATTTTTTACTTAAAATTTCTATTTTAAATTTATTCTTCGTCGCTAAACTCAGTGACTTCCGTGGAGTTTGACGTACCACTTTAATCTAGAAATCTTCAGCTCAACTAGGGAAATGGTGAACTCCCCTCGCAGTCACAGTTCAGGAATATTGAATTCCGAGGCTGAATCGTCTAATTAAAACGCACTCCTCCCGCAAATCACTCCCTCATTTTCCCTCCCCCGCCCGAAAAAATCGATACCTCAATATTCACGGGTAATCTATCAGACACATTCCCTTTATTACGCGAACGCAGGATCGATAAACTTCAAATATTTACACTGTGACCGTGAAAATAATGGGCACAACGCAGCAACTGACGAATAATCGACAGAATGACTTCCAGAAATCGCAATTTGACATTCACAAGTTCAAAAATCACCTAAAATCGTCAATAAAACCTCGAACTACTCAAAACCCTCGACACTTTCATCTTTCAATTCCGTAAAAATAAATAGGCAATCGTAAAGTTAAATAAGTCGACGAAAAATGCGGAAATCATTCGCTATTTAATTTCATAATAAAAAAGACCGGTTTGTTTATTTCCTTTCTCCAGATCCGTCACCATCAGAAATCGGCTTCTCACGTCAGAGAACGACATGCAGTGCATGAAAAGGGAATTATCGGTCGCTGAATTGAATAAAATTAATCCAAACGTGGAAATGATAGTCAGACTCACCCTCGGTCTCGCAGGAGAAACAAAATAACCTCAGGATCCACGCGTCAGATAGGGGACCACGCTCCCTGGGTAGTCACTGCACCATGGACACACCACATGAGCCAGCGGCACCCACAGAACTCCTCACTTCATCGCAATTATCATTTCAAACTCTTTCCCTGACTCTCGATGAAATTCCCTGATTTTTCACACTCAAATGAACCTGCACTTTGCAATCGCCCAGCTTTCGTCCACTATTTTTCCTCGTGCTCTCAACCGAAAATCGCCGCACCTCTGGCGCCCCGTTACGCTCCTGACCCCTCCCTTTTGCCACCAACGCACGCGATTTCACTCGAGTTTGTGCCGTGGAAAATCCATAAAATGTGCGACTGCGCGGTTTGATACGCGAGACCACTGCTTCCACCGGTTGGCTCGTGTTTTTTTGATTTTAGGTTTATCTGTTATCGTCGACCGGGAAAGGATTCTTGTGGTCACTAAACGTGGGATAAAATTAACGGGACAAGGACACTGACTAAAGTTTCGAGTTTACAGAAGCGAGGAATTATTTTTATAGGCCGAGGGGTTTTATGGGGCTTAAAGGAGGAGATAATTGTTTTAGGAATTTTCTATTTGTTGTCGATTTTAGCGGAAAATTCCAGAGGGACACTGCGTTTTTTTATTAAAAAATGCCCGTTGATAGCGAAAATTTCTGATAGAGAATGTTTTATAGAAAAAAATCAGCAGAGTTTCATGTTTTTTGAATTTTTTTATAAAACTTTTTCTGTAGCCATTTTGAGACGGGAATTTTCCAAGTTTTAGTCATTTGTTTTTTGTTCTGCTGTCCTAAAAAAGTCAATTGGTTAATATGACTTGACAATTTTTTAATTATTAAATTTAATTTTTTCTAATTATTAAATTTTTTAATTAAATATTCAAATTCCGAATTATTTTGACAATCAATAATTGAGTTCGTAAGATTGACGATTATTTGGCTATTCGAAAATTCTTTTTATGAAATTTGGAATTTTTCGAATTTCAATGAAGCACTTAATTTTTCTAAATGAAAAATAACTATTTAATTGAAATCTTGATTATTTTCAATTGAAAATTCAAGAATATATTCACCTAATTTCTATATTTTCCTGATGTCTACGAATTTTCTCAGAATAATTGACCCGAAATTGGCAGTTTCCATCGATTTTTCCATGAAATTTTCAATTTTCAATGATCAAATTCCCTGGAATTTCATTGAATTTTCCCTGAAATCTCAAATTCCCTGACTCCCTGCCCCTGAATTCAATTAAATGTCCCATAAAATTCGAAATTGAAATCAACAAACGTTCCGAGTCCCCGCGGAAATGATAAATCCCAGGCTGACCGTACATTACAATTTCTACTTGCCCGTCTCAACTCTAGTAGAAAAAGCCATGAAAAACTAGGAGACTGTCTTACCAATAATCCCACCGGCTCTTTTACCGACCGAGATGGTCACTAGATGTCCCTGAGGTGCACCTCCGGGCAGCCCTCAGTTCCGAAAACACGTGGTGTCAAGTTAGAATTTTTGACAATTTCTAGTGATCCAATCAATTCCAACAGCCCTCCCCCAATTCTTAAATTAATTAGACAACTAAGGAGTGATGGAGTACATGGAGAACATCGAACTGCCTGGGGCGTCGACAGCTCGAGTGTAAGTCCCCCAAATTCATGTCTAAACCTCAAAATTTCTTCGGGAACTCAATCTCCTGAACTTCACCCTAATAAACAATTCGATTAAAATTATTCCTGATGTTTTCTTTTTTCTGCAGATTGTGCTGTCGTTGTGGCACAGTGATAGAGCCCAACCCCTCGAACATGTGCGTCGCCTGCCTGAGGACAGAGGTGGACATCACCGAGGGAATCCCAAAACAAGCGACAATACACTTCTGCAGAGGCTGCGAGAGGTACCTCCAGCCTCCCAACGAGTGGATACCAGCTGCCCTGGAGTCCAGGGAGCTCTTGTCACTGTGTTTGAAGAAGCTCAAGGGCCTCCAGAGGGTCAAACTCATTGACGCTGGCTTCGTTTGGACCGAGCCACATTCCAAGCGAATAAGGGTAATTAAAAGTTAATTTCTCCCCTCTATAATCCTCTAAAAAACAACTAAAGCTCACAAAAGTGAACTGAAACATTAAGTTCCAACTCTTCTTCTCCCTTCTGCAGATGAATATGCTTCTTCACAATTTTTCAGGATTTTAATTCAAGTTTAAATCCCAGAAATGTCAATTTTCAATAATTTTTTTGTTAAAATTAGATAGTGCTAATTTTCAAGGCACAAAAATCTTTTGTAATTTACATTCAGCTCACTAAGAGTCTCTCGCAAATAACTATACATTTTACATAGATAATGTAAATATCCTAAATTGTTCTTTACGCAAACGAAGATATAAATTATAATAATTTAATAGCAAATTAAAGTTTTACCTGTAATTACTCTTTCCATGCAATGGGACATTGTATCCTTATGTATTTATAAATAATAATAATATAATAATAATATTAATATCAATAATATATGCAATTAATCAGTAATAAAATAAAATGAATTAAAAATGAATTTATCACATTGAAAAATTGATTGAATTATAATTTTTGAATGGATTTTCCAGGTAAAACTCACTGTTCACGCTGAAGTAATTGGTGGAGCTGTTCTCCAACAAGTCTTCATAGTTGAATTCATCATAACTCACCAGATGTGCGATGACTGTCACAGAACAGAGGCGAAGGACTACTGGCGTGCATCAGTGCAGGTACGCCAAAAGGCCATCAACAAGAAGACGTTCTACTACTTGGAGCAGCTGATACTGAAGCACAAGGCACACGAGCAGACACTGGGGATAAAACCCATTTACGAGGGTCTAGATTTCTTCTATTCCAATGAGGCCTCAGCGAGAAAAATGGTGGACTTTTTGGTGGCTGTGCTGCCTTGTCGTTATCAGCAGTCGAAGAAACTCATTTCTCACGATATTCACAGTAATATCTATAATTATAAGTTTACGTACAGGTAATGAAGCTGGAAAATCACTTGTTTGAAGTAGATTTACATTTTTCTCAAGAGTGGGGAAAATTAAATTTTTTTTATTATAGTTTTTGTTCAGGAAAAATTTTCGACGTTTTATTTTAAACTGAAGCACTCCCAAATTAATTATTTAATAACTATTTTATTTCTCTTTTCCCATGTTTTCACAATCAATGAAATTATTTTTTTCAGCGTTGAAATCGTTCCAATTTCCAAACATAGCGTTGTATGTCTCCCCAAGAAACTGACGCATCAGTTGGGAGGAATAAGCCCTATTGCTCTCGTCTACAAAACAACGAGTGCATTGCACTTGATCGATGTTTCTTCAGGACAAAGTAAGGATCACCTTTACCACTCAATGCCCAGAATTCCGGGGAACCACGATGACAGATTCATTAATTTTCTTGCAGTTGCTGAAGTAAGTGCGACTGTCTATTGGAGACATCCCTTCAACAGTATCTGCAATCCAAAGCAGTTGACCGAGTACGTGGTGATGGACATAGAGCCCATCAGAAACAGCGAGAAGAAAGTGTTTCCAGGTCAGGGGGCCATATCCAACAAGGTGCGCTAGGCTTTCGTATAATTTTATTCGTCAAGGTTTAACGAATGGATTTCTCGATTTTTAGCATGTTGTGGCTGATGTCTGGCTGGTGAAGGCATCAGAGCTTGGGGTTAATGATAATCCAGTTCATGCACGAACTCATTTGGGCCATGTTTTGAAGCCCGGAGACTCGGCAATGGGGTGAGAATTGAATTCATTTGATTATTTAAAAAATTATTTAACCCTCGTGAGCCTTATGAACCCTGAAACTTTTTGGCGTTGTCTTAATTTACGAAATTAGGGAAAATTGAGAGATTAAATTTCCTTCTGTCAAGTTGGTTAATTTTCCTCAAGGGCCACCTCGAATTGACTTCCTGTTTTTTATTTTGAAGATATGCAGTTGGAGACAGCAACATCAATGATCTCCATTTCGATAAGCTCTCGCAGGACAGCATTCCTGATATAATTCTGGTGAAGAAGTACTATGGAACAGAGAGGACTGCGAGGCGAAGGGCGAGAATGTGGAAGTTGAAACATTTACATGATGAGGTGGTATCCATGGGCACCGATAACAAGTGAGTCTTCCTTTTGATTTAAAATTCACTTCAAACGCGACGAAAATGTTGTGATGTAATAATTTGAGGCTTTCGTTTTCCAGTGATTACAATGAATTCTTGGAGGACCTTGAGGAAGACCCAGAGATGCGTCAGAATATCAACATCTTCAGGGACTCGAGTAAACAAATACCGGTGGACTCCAACGATTTGGACCCGAATATACCGCAGATTACGCTCGAGGAAATGCTGGAGGATTTGGTGATCGAGGACAGCGAAATGGCTGAGGTTTATGAATGATGTAAACGATTGAGAACGAAACTGGTTTAATGGGGAAAGGGGGAGAATGTTTTCAGTGTAATTATTTGAATAAACAAGCTCTTGTTTACGAAGAAAAATTCTCTGCTTCTTTTATTCCCGAATATTTATGTATTTGCCTTTGGATACAGACTCAATCTATACAGAATCATTAGCCAACAGAATCATTAATCAACTGTATACAGAATCATTAGTAGATAGGGAATCAACGTTCGCTTGGCGAAAAAATTCGATTTTGCCGTCACGATTCGATTTTGTCTAGGAATCCTCCTAGACAATGATGTCACAACTCAATGCTGTTCAATTGAAAACAGACATCATCTTTAGAGACATTTGTCATGTTTAGAGGCTCTAGCACGTCATTTCTCGACCCACTCTTTCATTTGAGCCCAAAAAAACATTCATATCTTATCTGACATCGCTACTACAAACTCGGGTCTACAACTCGGGCCTTCAATTGAAAACCCGAGTTGAAGACCCGAGTTTGTAGCAAAGATGTCAGACAAGATATGAA